CTCATGATAATAATCAAATAAACACGTATACGCACGTAACGATATATATTTTTTTTAATATATACATCTATATACATATTGCACCCGGCCGGGGAAGTTCGCTCAGCTGGGAGGAAAAGAAAAAGAAAATCTCGATCGAATAAAATGGATAGAAAAAAACTGAGAAGAAAAAGTGTCCCCGGCTGCTCCGGGGTGGGAGAACGGCGGGGGAGTCCCCCCCAAACTCCATCCTCGAACCCCGTCGCCATTCCCAAACCCAGCAGGGACCCTATCCTGCCGGCAGCTTTTGCAGGGAGAGTTTTTTTGCTGAAAGCTGGTGGGGAAACGGCGAGGGGGAGCTTGGTGGGACGCGGAGGAGGGGGGAAAGATGCTCCCCCATGGAAGGGAGGACAATGCCCGGCTCGGGGGGAAACGGGGGGAAAACGGCACACGGGTCCTGGGTGGTTTCAGCGCACAACGAAACCAGATGAACTCTTCAAAGGGATCTCCTTATCTGCTCCTCATAGGAATTTTAGATCAACTTTTATAATAATAATAATACCAGTAATAGTAATTATAATAATGGTGGTGATGATGACGGGGAGAAAAATCTTTCCCACTCGGAGGTTGCAGGCTGCAGCCCAGCGGCGCTGCCCAAGGGAGGGGGCTGCATGTCGGTTTAGATCAGATTTTAGGAAGAATTACTTTCCTGAGAGGGTGGTCAGGCACTGGAACAGCCTGCCCAGGGAGGTGGTGGAGTCACCATCCCTGGAGGTATTTAAGAAACGTGTAGACATGGCTCTTCAGGGCATGCTCTAGTGCCCGAGATTGTTGGTTTGTGTCTGTTTGTGGGTGTGTGTGCGGTGGTTTTTATGTTTGGGTGTTTGTTTTTTTTTTTTTGTGGTTGGACTCGATGATCTCAAAGGTCCCTTCCAACCATGAATATTCTGTGTATTCTGTGATTCTGCCATTCTGCCAGCAGCGGGTCGGGGGGCTTGGGCACAGCAGCGATGATGTTTGTGGTGTGCCCAGCTCCCGTTTCTTGTTAGAGAGGGAGAAAAGAAAAAAAAAAAACAACAACCCTCCCAGAACTCATTCATCCCTTCTCCCCAACCCCACCTCCTTTGTGTCTGTGTTGTGATTTTGGTTTTTTTTTTGTTAAATTCACATTTAATCAGTGCCAGAGACTGCACAATTCTGTGTTTGGATCCGCCAAAAATAGTGACAAATTGAAGCTGGGCTCACTTTCAGCTCCTGGGAGTGCCTCCCCAAGGGACAGCGTCTGCGTCCCTGACCTGTGTGCCTGCCTGGGAGGGAAAATGAGATTTTTCACAGCATTTTACTTGGCATGGCTGGGGCTGGGGGCGGGGGGGATGTTGGGTGTGACACTTAAGGCAAAAGAAATCAGTGACAACCTGCTGATTGGGGATGGGACTGTGCGGGACAGGTTCAGGTGGGGCTTCAGTGCCAAAATAGGATAGGGATGCAGCTGGGGGCACTGAAACACCCGGGGGGAGGCAGAGGAGCCACCTTGGGATGCGGGGAAGAGCTCTGAGGAGAAGCCACTTTTTTGAATTGATTCCTCCCTCTCTCTCCACCTCTTCCTCCCCGTTTTCTTTCGGTTCCTCCAGCCAGGGTGACACTCTGGGGCACAGGGCACCCAGGCTGGGTCCCTGCTGGGATGCTCAGCGAGCCTTGGTGCAAAGTGATGATCTCTCCCGTTAGCTCTGTGTCCCTTGCGCCTCCATAATGAGTGTTTGCCTCCAGCTTGCTGTTTTGTTTTTTTTTTTTTCTTTTTTTCCTTTTTTTTTTAAATTTTGTTTTGTTCTGGTTTGGTTTTATCTCTTCCAGATGCCTCCCCGTCCGCTCCCGAGCAGCGATACCTCTTTGACATCTCCAGCCTGCCGGAGGCGGAGGAGGTGACGGGCGCGGAGCTGCGGGTCCTGCGCGCCCTCCCCGAAAACCGGAGCTTGGCCCTGTCCCCCGAAGGCACCTTCCACCACCTCCTCCTCTCCACATGCCCAAGCCGGGATGGCGAGGAACCCCGGCTGCTGGACTCCAGGGCTGCAGACATTTTGGACGTGGGCTCCTCCAGATGGGAGGTGTTTGATGTCTGGGAAGCCCTGCGGGATCGGAGGGAGAGGTCTCTCTCGGGAAAGCTGCTGTGCTTCCTGCTGAGGATCGTCTCGGATCAGTCGGGGCGGCTCCTGCCCCCCCGGCAGCTGGGCTTCAGCAAACCGCGGCCACAGCCCCACGAGAGAGCCCTGCTCGTAGCCTTCTCCCGCACCCAGAGGAAGGAGAACCTCTTCAAGGAGATCCGGGATAAGATCAAGGCCCTGGGCAGCCCCCCCTTCCTGGAGCCTCCCGATCCCGGCCAGGAGGCGTACCCCAAGCGGAGGAAGAGACGGACCACCATCGCCGCCCGCTCCGGGGGCAGAGGCCACGGGAAGAAGGCGAAGACCCGCTGCAGCAGGAAGCCCCTGCACGTGAACTTCAAGGAGCTGGGCTGGGACGACTGGATAATCGCCCCCCTGGATTACGAGGCGTATCACTGCGAGGGGGTCTGCGACTTCCCCCTGCGCTCCCACCTGGAGCCCACCAACCACGCCATCATCCAGACCCTGATGAACTCCATGGACCCGGAGTCCACCCCCCCCAGCTGCTGCGTGCCCTCCAAGCTCAGCCCCATCAGCATCCTCTACATTGACTCCGGGAACAATGTGGTTTACAAACAGTACGAGGACATGGTCGTGGAGACGTGTGGCTGCAGGTAGCAATTTCTGCAGCTCTCCCCCTCCCCACCCTGCCCTACCCCCCCAGCAGTCCTGCTCCCTTTTATATATATAAATATAAATATATATATATAAAATATATATATATATATACACACGTGCACATTTTGGTGTGTGCCTTTCCAAAAGCCAAGCTCAGAGCAGGTGTCCCCTGCCTTCCCGGGGACAGCCTGGCCATGAGCTCGGGAGGGATGGGGGATGTCCCCCCTCAGTCAGTGAGGCTGTAAATTGTGCCCCCCCCTGCCCCGGGCTCTCTCAAAGAAAGAGCAAGCCCCACCACCCCCGCTGGGTTTCCCAGGGCTCAGCTGGAGGTCGGGAAGAAGGCGAAGACCCGCTGCAGCAGGAAGCCCCTGCACGTGAACTTCAAGGAGCTGGGCTGGGACGACTGGATAATCGCCCCCCTGGATTACGAGGCGTATCACTGCGAGGGGGTCTGCGACTTCCCCCTGCGCTCCCACCTGGAGCCCACCAACCACGCCATCATCCAGACCCTGATGAACTCCATGGACCCGGAGTCCACCCCCCCCAGCTGCTGCGTGCCCTCCAAGCTCAGCCCCATCAGCATCCTCTACATTGACTCCGGGAACAATGTGGTTTACAAACAGTACGAGGACATGGTCGTGGAGACGTGTGGCTGCAGGTAGCAATTTCTGCAGCTCTCCCCCTCCCCACCCTGCCCTACCCCCCCAGCAGCCCTGCTCCCTTTTATATATATAAATATAAATATATATATATAAAATATATATATATATATACACACATGCACATTTTGGTGTGTGCCTTTCCAAAAGCCAAGCTCAGAGCAGGTGTCCCCTGCCTTCCCGGGGACAGCCTGGCCATGAGCTCGGGAGGGATGGGGGATGTCCCCCCTCAGTCAGTGAGGCTGTAAATTGTGCCCCCCCCTGCCCCGGGCTCTCTCAAAGAAAGAGCAAGCCCCACCACCCCCGCTGGGTTTCCCAGGGCTCAGCTGGAGGTGACGAGCTGCGGTGGGGAGTCTGGGGTCCCTTCTCAGAGCTGCCCTCATCTTTGTGCCTTGCCTTTCCCCCCGCCCTGGAGAGGGGGGGCACACAGTCCGGCAGAGCCCCTGGGGGATGCCCACTCGGTCTCCAAGCTCTGCCTGATCCACTTGGTTTGCCCAAGCTGAGCTGACACCTTCTTTCCCAAAGGTTTTGGAAAATGTCTGGCCAAAATTGTCTCGGTGGGGGGGTGGCGGGGGGGGTTACAAAGTGGTGCCTGCAGCATGGAGGGGTCGGGCCAGCATCACCCTCCAGCTGTGATGGTGGGGCAGAGGGGAGGTGGGAAGGCTCTTTTCTTCAAGTTCAAGGAGTTTCTCTGGCTGCCTTCAAATTGCTGCCCTAGGTTTGTGGGGGGAAAGATAAGGGATCCCTGGGGAATCGCACGGGGTGGAGAACCCGTGGCCACGGGAGGTTGAAATCATTTAGCCCAGGCCTGTTTGCAGTGCAGGGACTGGTGAGTCTGCTGCTGGGGACGGTCCCCGTAACTGGAGCCTAAACTGAGAGTCAGGGTCTGGAGCAGAGCTCGTGCTCTCGATGGAGCTGGGAACAACCCGGCAAGGTGTTAGCTGGGGATGCCTTGGCTCTGCGTGGTCTGGAGCACTGGCACGGGCACTGCCACCCTTTGTCCTGCAGGAGCTACCAGCTGGTAGGTCCCCTTCCTTTCTGGCACAGAACCCCATTTCCGAGGCACACTGGGCACCCGGTATCGGGCCGGAGTCACACAGCCATCCCCAGCATGTCTGGAGAGAATCAACCGTCTCCAGTTCCCCAGGGAAGAGCCATTTCGCTCGGGCTCTTCTTTTTCCAGATAATCTGTATAAAAGCACTAAGCTCCACCCGACCTTCCTTTGGCACCAATTTCCCAGAGATTTCCATCCCCGGAGCTCTTGCCTCTCCCCGCTCCGGTAAGGGAGCCCGGATCCGCCGGGAACAGACATGTCCCATGCGAATGGGAATGCCATCCTCGGAGAATGCAGCATAAAACAGGGGGCTTTGGACCCTGCTGAAAGGGCTACCAGATTTTAGTGGCTCAGGAGCTCAGTATCAATTGTGCCTTGTAATCAGAGAAGCCTTCCATCCATGCCAAGGCGTGTTTTGGATGCTGGGAAGCATCTCTGCTGCACCTCACTGGCATTTGGTACCGGGCTTCAGCTTCATGGCTGGGTTGGCTTGGACCAGAGATGCATTTGCACAGATTTTGTTTTGATGGTTTGTTTTCTACTGGTGATCAAGGTGTTGGCATGAAAACCTCAATGCTCGTTAGCGATGGTCGTTTGCTTTTGGGGGAGAGAAATCCCTGCTGGAAAACGTGGGTTTTTTTTTACAGAATCACACAGTGATATGGAGTTGGAAGGGACCTCTGCAGATCATCTAGTCCAACCCCCTTGCCAAAGCAGGTCCACCTCGAGCAGGTTGCACAGGAACATGTCCAGGCAGGTTTTTAATATCTCCAGAGATGGAGGCTCCACCACCTCTCTGGGCAGCCTGTTCCAGTGTTCCATCACCCTCAAAGTGAAGAAGTTCCTCCTCATCTTTAGGTGGAACTTCTTACGTTCAAGTTTGTGCCTGTTATCTCTTGTCCTGTCACTGGGCACCACTGAAAAATGACTGGCCCCATCCTCTTGACACCCACCCTTTAAGTATTTATAGGCGTTGATCGTATATAAAGCCTGTTGTGTAAAGCCAGTTGTCCTCCATCGCAGGGGTGTTCTGCTAGGGAGGGCTAAGCCCAGCTAGGGTGGAGAGGGGTCTACCAAAAGCTCTACCAAGATCCAAATGATTTCAAAAAGCCTTGTTGAGGGTCCAACAGCCCTCTCCCCCCAAGAAAATAGTACACCAGCAGGGAGTAAGCCGTGCACATCAATAATGGTGATATATCCACTGGGTTAAACCCCTCCAGCCTTGCTCCATCCTCACCCCTCTGAGGTCTGCTCTGCTTCCTCAGGCTGTGGCCGGTGGCATCTCAGGGGAGTGAGTGTGGTACCCTTGTGTAACCCCCTTGACACCGGTGGAGCAAATCTGGCTTTATACCCACGTATCTGAGAGGAAAATCCAGCTCCCCAGCTCAGCGTGAATGTAAATATATATTTAGGCATGAGGTACCTGTAGCCAGGGGGACAGTCAGAGATGGAGGTCAGTGGGGGAGAGGAAGAATCAGGTCCATGGTGGGGTGTTTTCTCACTGTCAGCATTTCGGGGGCACCGAGGGGCAACAAGTGGGTGAGGAGGGGTGGCCAGGAGGGCTCATGGCTTTCCTCGGCCCTTTTCCTTTAGCGCAGGTGGTTTGGGGAAGGAGGTTGGCACCAGCAGCACCAGAGCAGCTTGCTCTGGAGACACCATCTTGTTTATAAAGTTACCAAGCTTTCCAAGTACCTAATTTCTCAATCGCCGTTGGTTGCTTGATAGTTTTTCTCACTGCTGAGACAATTTTTTTTTCATGTTTTCGTTTCTTTTACCACCTCCCCTTCCTCCAGATATTTGCAGTGGAGGTTTGTGGGCAGTTCAAATCCAGGCAAGATAATATATAACTCCTGGCAGTCACCTGCTGCCTTGGTGGCTCTTGTGAGCCTTGGCTGAATGCGTGGCTTGAGACCTGCTCCTGTGGGACCATGTCTGAGGGGGTGCCAGTGCCAGCGACCCCCGGTTCTTGTGGCTGTCATTCAGCCACAGCAGACAGACAGACAGACAGATGGACCTCACATCAGGTCTGGGGGTGGCCGATGGAGAGCAGGGTGACAGGCTGGGTCTCGCGATGCTGTCCTCCAGCCCCACTGCTGGTGCTCTTGCCCTCAACCCCGTGGTGGCTTCTCTGGCCTAGGACAAAGGGTAATGGCTTTAAACTAAAAGAGGGAAGATTTAGACTAGATATAACGAAGAAATTTTTTACAATGAGAGTGGTGAAACACTGGCCCAGGTTGCCCAGAGAGGTGGTAGATGGCCCATCCCTGCAAACATTCAAGGTCAGGTTGGATGGGGCTCTGAGCAACCTGATCTAGTTGAAGATGCCCCTGCCCATTGCAGGCAGGTTGGACTAGATGACCTTTGAAGGTCCTTCTAACCCAAACTATTCTATGATTCTGTGTTTGGTGGGAGATCAAACTTCAGCCCCCCCAGGGTGAGGCCAGCAGCAGTGTGGCCCTTTGCGTTCACAGCCATGGTGACACCACCCTGCCAGCCACTTTTTTAAGAGAGCATCTGTCCCTTTTCTGGGCAGACAACCCCCAGAGGACAACAGGAGGGTGATGGATGGCATTGGACCCTCTTTCTGCTTGCCTAAGGAGACAGGGGAGTGCAGCTCCCTGCTTGGGGCTGCTCCAGGGGGATGTGTATGAGCAGGGCAAGGGTTCTCGGTGGACAACTGTGCTGCTGCCACCCTGGGCAAGTGTGTTGGCCACAGGACTTGGCAGTCACATTGCTCACTGCTCCTGGGGGAGTATTTCCAGAGCAAAAGCCACCAGTCCTCCCTTGTGAGGGTGGACTCTCCTCCCCATGTGCAGACAGCAAGTGCTGCCTCTCTGTCCCCATGCAGACTCAGAGATTGCACCCAAAGAGTGGGATTAGGTTTGGGATTGAGTCATTAGAGCTTTTGCAAACGGAGGTGCTTGAGCCTCTCCTGGGGTGGGAAAGCCTTTCCTGGGCAGGGAGGTTCCCATGGCCGAGATGCTGCAGCCCTGCCATGTTGGGGATGAACATGGGGATGCATCTGCAAAGAGCATGGGGGAGGAAACCAGCTGCAGGACGGTGGTTGCCCAGCCCAACCCAGTGCCCCAGCCCTAGGGCTACTCCTCCGCAGAGCATCACCCCCTAACGCCACAGAAATGGTCCAGGAAAAATGTATATTTCTGACCAGTCGTCTCTTGCCTGAGCTGATTTTGGGGCACATATAAGAATTATAAATAGGAGACTAGAGGCTGAACGTGGACAAACGTGAATTCAGTAGGCTCAGAGTGATTTTAATGGATAATTATAGGTTCTCAATCTGCAGTATTTATACAACCTTTCCAGTTAAAAAAAAAAAAAAAAAGTTTCCTTGCAGAGTATATTCTCCTGGAGGATTTGTTTGACCTTCAGCACCATTTTTATCTGCAGGATATAATTACAGTGAAGCTAGAAATACTAAGCATTTGAAAAGGACTCCATATCTCTGCTTAACTGGCTCCCTCCCCAGGACATGGGAACGTAATCGAGCAGGAGGAGGGGAACTCGCAGAGTGATCCCATTGGACTTGGGGTCAGGGGGGCTGAGATTTGGGGAAGCACAGGCGATCGGGGCAGGACTGGTGTGTGTGTGTCTTGCCTTGGGCTCTTTCAGCTCTGTAAAACTAAAGCCTGTGCTTAAGCCACTGCCTGGAGTGTGTCCTGAACCCCGCTGCCCGGTGGAGTCCCATGACAGGGACAGTCAGAAGCAACATGGCTTTGTGCCCAGTTTAACTGCCTGATGACCAGGGGTACTTCTGGCCTGGAAATAATTCCCAGGAAACACAGATTTTTTTCCTTTTTTTTTTTTTTTTTTTTTTTACTTAATTATCTTAAAATAAGGTGGTTGTCTAAAATCTCCCTTAAAATAAGGTGATTGTCTAACATCTCCCCCTTTTGTTTTTTTCTTTAACCTTCTTTCTTTAACCCAACTTTCTTTAACCTCTTTAACCTTCTTTAACCTTCAAGTCCAATGGT